TCCCCTCGCAGCCTTCTCTTCTTCAGGCTGAACAAGCCCAGTTCCCTCAACCTCTCCTCGTAGTGGAGATGTTCCAGTCCCCTCACCATCCTTGTAGCCCTCCGCTGGACTCTCTCCAGTAGCTCTTCATCTTTCTTGAACTGGGGAGCCCAGAACTGGACACAGTACTCCAGATGAGGCCTCACCAGGGCAGTGTAGAGGGGAAGGAGAACCTCCCTTGTCCTGCTGGCCACACTCTTCTTGATGCACCCCAGGATCCCATTGGCTTTCTTGGCAGCCAGGGCACACTGCTGGCTCATGGTTAACCTGTCGTCCACCAGGACACCCAAGTCCCTCTCCACAGAGCTGCTCTCCTTCTGGTGTATCTACCACACCTCCCAGTTTGGTGTCGTCAGCAAACTTGCTGAGGGTACATTCTAACTCTTCATCCAGGTCGTTGATGAAGAAGTTAAACAAGACTGGGCCCAGTACTGACCCCTGAGGGACACCACTTGTCACCAGCCTCCAACTAGACTCAGCGCCGCTGATGACAACCCTCTGAGTTCTGCCATTCAGCCAGTTCTCTATCCACTTCACCGACCACTCATCCAGCCCACACTTCCTCAGCTTCCCCAGGAGGATATCATGGGAGACTGTGTCGAAAGCCTTGCTGAAGTCAAGGTAGATAACATCCACAGCTCTCCCTTCGTCTACCCAGCCAGTCATGTCATCGTAGAAAGCTATCAGATTGGTCAGGCATGATTTCCCCTTGGTGAATCCATGCTGACTACTCCTGATAACCTTCTTTTCTTCCACTTGCTTCATGATGGCCTCCAGGATAAGCTGCTCCATCACCTTTCCCGGGATGGAGGTGAGGCTGACCGGCCTGTAGTTCCCTGGGTCCTCCTTCTTGCCCTTTTTGAAGATTGGAGTGACATTGGCCTTTCTCCAGTCCTCGGGCACCTCTCCTGTCCTCCAGGACCTCTCAAAGATGATGGAGAGTGGCTCAGCAATGACATCCGCCAGCTCCCTCCGCCCTCGTGGGTGCATTCCATCGGGGCCCATGGATTTGTGGACATCCAGATCGCTTAAGCGATCCCTCACACAGTCCTCCTCAACCAAGGGAAAGTCGTTTTCTTTGTAGGCTTCTTCTCTTACCTCCGGGGCCTGGGATTCCTGAGGGCCAGTCTTAGCACTGAAGACTGAAGCAAAGAAGGCATTCAGTAGCTCTGCCTTCTCCGCATCCTCCGTCACCAGGACACCCGCCTCATTCAGCAGCGGCCCCACGTTGTCCCTAGCCTTCCTTTTGCTGCTGATGTAGTTGAAGAAGCCCTTCTTGTTGTTTTTGACATCCCTTGCCAGCTTCAATTCCAGGTGAGCCTTGGCCTTCCTCGTCGCATCCCTGCATGCTCTCACTACGTTTCTGTACTCTTCCCAAGTGGCCTGTCCCTCTTTCCACATTCCATGGACCTTTCTCTTCTGCCTGATCTCCGCTAGAAGCTCCTTGTTTAACCATGCAGGTCTCCTGCCTCCTTTGCTAAATTTCTTTCTCAGGGGGATGCATTGCTCCTGTGCATGGAAGAAGTGTTGTTTAAAGAGCGACCAGCACTCATGGACCCCCCTGCCTTCGAGAGCCCTGGCCCACGGGATTCCTCCCAGTAGCTCCTTGAAGAGGGCAAAGTCAGCCCTCCTGAGGTCCAGGGTTTTGATCCTGCTTATCTCCCTGCTTCCTCCACGCAGGATCTTGAACTCGACCATTTCATGGTCACTGCAGCCGAGTCTACCTCCAACCTTCACGTCCTCCACCAGTCCCTCCTTGTTTGTTAACACGAGGTCCAGCAGCGCGCCTTTCCTTGTTGGTTCCTCCACCACTTGCATCAGAAAGTTATCATCGATGCTCTGTAGGAACCTCCTGGATTGCGCCTGCCTAGCTGTATGGTCTTCCCAGCTGATGTCAGGGTGGTTGAAGTCCCCCATGAGAACCAGGGCCTGTGACTGTGAGGCTGCTTGCAGCTGCCTGTAGAAGGCTTCATCAACCTCCTCCTCCTGGTCGGGTGGCCTGTAGTATACACCCACCGTAATGTCACCCGTGTGAGCCTGTCCCTTAATTCTAACCCACAAGCTTTCAACTCCTTCTTCACTTGCCCCCAGGCCAAGCTCAATGCATTCCAGTTGCTCCCTCACATATAGAGCAACTCCCCCACCTCTCCTTGTTGGCCTGTCTTTCCTAAAGAGTCTGTAGCCATCTATGACAGCATGCCAGTCATGCGAGTTGTCCCACCACGTTTCTGTGATGGCGACCAAGTCGTAGCCGTCCTGCTGTATAATGGATTCCAGCTCCTCCTGTTTATTGCCCATGCTACGTGCATTGGTGTAAACACACTTGAGCTGGGCTGTCAATCTCACCCCTGGCCTTGGCACTCCAAGCCTAGGCTCATCCCTAGTGAGCTGGGCAATATCCCCTTCCCCCTTCGAACCTAGTTTAAAGCCCTCTCAATGAGCCCCGCCAGCTCGTGGCCAAGAATTCTTTTCCCCCTTTGTGATAGCTGAGCTCCACTTGTTGCCAGCAGGCCCGGTGCTGTGTACACCTCCCCATGATCAAAAAAGCCAAAATTTGACTGATGGCACCAGTCCCTGAGCCACCTGTTAACCAGGTGAGTTTTCCTGCCCCTTTCAGTGCTGTCCCCTGCCACTGATGGGATGGAGGAAAACACCACCTGCGCCCCGATCCCTCAACCAGTCGCCCCAGTGCCCTTAATACACTTAATCTAGTATTTTATGAATGTTTGCCAGAATACTTTTCTGTTTCCCGACTAAATGTATTGAGTTCCTGCAGCCAATTTCATTTAACATTATGCCTCATTTACATCTAGGAATATCTGTTGTGTTGTAACATACATAATGTAAAACAACTGGAATTTGTACTTCTCCACTTTTACTGGCCTACAGTATTATCAAAACCCAAATATTTTCTGAAAAAAGTGACATCCAGCTTTTCCAGAGCTTTCTCCAGCAACATTTGCTTTTTGCTATACAAACCAATTGAAACAGTATTTCTTCGTAAAGATTTGCAAGTTACTGTTTAGCAAATAACTTCAGTGTATCAATGACTACGTAGCCTATGATAATATTAATTTTAATTCAGTCTCAAGAGGGGAAAAAAATGCACTGTATTTGCTATAAAAACAGATGAACTGTTACAGGCTCAGTTCCCAACTTAATGACTACATCTATTTTGAAATGTTAATGTTTAAATTAGATTATCCCATATTCTTCAGACTTTTTTTGTTTATGTTTCAGAGTTATTCTGGGAAACACTACTGCCTTCTCAACACTGAGTAAGAATGTAGAGCGGAAAGGTTTCCTAGAAGCAAGCCTCATCACCTGCTGTAATAAACACCAATGGGAACACATTTTGACAACTACACATATGGGAAACACAGTACTGCCCTCGTGCAGATACCGGAGCACAGAGCCCTGGTGCTGTGGATACCGTTTCTTCTGTTGACTTGGTCAACAGTATGTAAAAACGGCGTTGAATTCTCAAAAGTTATTCGTTAGCCTGTGGACTCAGTTACTCCAATCTGCGTTGCTCTGTACAACTTAACTATGACTGCTGACTGGCCCAGTGGCTGCCTTTAGTGCAGCTGACAGCGGCACACGCACGTCTTGTCTTTTCTGCCGGTGAGCGTTAGACCACATTTTAGCTACAAGTGAAGCCACACTTTAGCTACCAGTGAGAGCAAAATGTTCCTGTCAATAGGGCTGTTCATTCTTCTAGACAAACAGGTATTCTGGTATAATACATGTACCAAACAGAAGTAATTAAGCATGCCCACAATACAGATCATCTCAGTATAGCTCAGCTGAACATACTGCAGCTAGCAGACACACATTTGCACAGACCTCCCACATGTTCCTGCCACTCATACACTCCAAACTAATTCAAACAAAGGCTGAAGATTGCTTGGTCTTCAAAAAGTGAAGCCACTAGTCGAACCTTAGTTGGACTTGGAACTTTTTTTGGGTGTGCCACCACATATGCACAGCTTTCAGCTATTTCACTTCGTTTCAAGCTACCTAAATTTAAGCAAACCTCATTCTGGAAGGCATGGTACTGCAGGTTTAGCACTGTGCTCTCACAAAGGCATTTACTGCTTTATCTTGAGTGCATCACCTTCAGACTGCTCCTGGCAGTTTCTGAGTAAGAAAGATCATACAGATATGTTTCCAAAAGGTTTTGTAGACAAGTCGCTAAGTTTTGTTCTGATTCAATGCTCACTTCTTAAATTTCTGTAGTTAGAAGCCAAATTCATTGACATTATTCAAGATACTTGTATGCATAATTAAGACCATAAAAATCAACAGTCATCATCATAATCTATTCTTTTGTTTGATTAGAAATACATTCAGAAGGGAAAAAACCCACAAACTTTAAAATGCACAGTAAATTTATAATAAGCAAAAAATACTTTGGTTAATTCTGAATCAAAAAAGAAATTCTACTGCTTAATCAAATTCAGTAGGGATATTACCTAGCTGTGTACCTACTGAGCACCTAGTGAAATGGTACAATCTTCTAGCAAAACTAGCACAATCAGTAAATGTTCACCTCACAGCGAGAAAAAAAAGATTTGGTTGTTGCACAGCTTGTACAAATAACAAATATGCTGGCATCGCATTTATAGCATACCATAATATTTATTGCACATAGTTACACAACAATCCTTTCCCACAAGGACAGCTACAGGGCTTTTGTACTTTTCTCTGTACAGGTCCTTTTCCGTGTTTTGTACTGATAGTATCAGCTTGATAAACACTTTCTTCATTTGCTATCTCCACGAGTCTGCCTAAACAGAACCTGATATCCCTTACCTACTTGTTGTTCTGTTTCCTTGATGTTAGCTGAGAATCATGGTCAGAAGATCACCTGAATTTGTTCTTCTAGTTGATTTTTAACAAACATAGTAAGAACAGTTCTGTTTGGAGGAGATTTTATATCTTTTGAACATAGTACATACCAGTTCCTTTGCTTACATATGGAGGCTTGAAGAATTTCACAATGCCATACAAATTCACTATAGTTCCATCTTTAAGACGATTCAGAGGAGTATACACATATTTTGGTGCAACAGACTGGAAAGGCGTGATAAAATTAGGGAACAGAAGGAAAAATTATTCAAACATTCACCCAGAATTTTGTTTTTTAACACCATCCACCCATAAATCATCAGATACGATTTACTTTGTCTTAAAAAAAAAAGGTTATTATTTTTTCCATCTTATTTTCTTTAGACTCTCTAAAGATAAATATCTATATGCATATATATTCAATAAAGGCAATAAAGCACACAAGACTTATTTCTATTTCTTTTTGTGATTGTATCTTCTTTATATTAAACTAACCAGTCCAAGTAGGTTTCAATACATCAAATAGGTGAATAAAAGTCATTATAATAATGAACAATGGAAAGTAATTTTTTAGTAATTGCTTTTAACATGTTCATCCAAAGGTCTTTTTAAAACACATATATAAATAATTTTGTAATACTTATTGGCAGTGTCACTGCACAGAAGCACTGCTGGGGGGGACGGCGAGGGTGTAGCTCTCACAGCCTTTGTGTAAGTCTTTCTATTAAAATAGCACACTTGTTGGAGGATTAAAGAAGGACTACCTACTACTATTTAAGGACTACTCTCATCTAAAGGTTACTTTATATGCTTATTAGTGTCTTTTAAAGAATGTAAGTTCTGCGAAACTGACTGAAAACTGTGGCTTTCAATTACTGTATCAGGGGAAAAAATGGAACTTCATAAAAACAGGAAGCCAAGCTGTGTCATCTTCAGTACTAAATCTTTAACTTTATGATAAAGAACAATAAAATTTCATACACCTATTTCTATGCCTTTGACATACTATTTCCTGTAGAATTTTAATTTAGACAGATGAAGGCTTGTTTCAAACAGTAATCCAAAGAAATGTTAAGACCACTACATGAAGTCTGATTTTAAATCAAAGGAAGATTCGTATTTCCATTTTTTTAAAGCACAAACGTACAATCTTCTGTAGAATGATAGTTACCTTTCTAGCTCATATTTCCTAAACCAACATGCAGCCTATTTGGAGATCAAGATGAGAACTACACTCTAAGTATAGAAAAAGTACTACTTTTTCATATTTTATTCTGTTTTCCAGGCATATTATTTGCAAAACTAAAAGCTAAACAAATGACTGCTGGGGTAAGAGTATGGATGTAAAATAAACAGGAGAGAAAAAGAATTCCACACATTCTTATTTACATGCAGTTAGCATCACACAGTTTAGAAACATTCCTATTATAAACTCACCGCAGATGCAGTTTCTGAAGGAGCAGTTGTTCTTGGTTTAACATAAATCTAAGGAGAAAAAAACAGCAAACTGATTACAAAACTGAAGGCATTGCAAATATGACAACATTTGATAATTCTAAAGCAAATATAAGCAAATACAAAACAGCACTACAGACACTTTTGCTATGCGAATCACCTCTGAAACTGGTTAGATTTTATCCTACAGAAAAAAATAATATTTACTCCATTTATTCAGACAAAAGCTACTTTAAATAACACATACATTTTCTAAAGTACAAATGCACTTAATTGAATATATCTGAAGACACATTAGTATTGTCAACATCTGAAAGTCGGAGGCCACAAATTTAAAACTGTACTTGCTTAACAGAGAACTTAAATGGGTTTAGGCTTTGCACATGCTTAGAGCTGGTCTACTTTCAGTGACCCATTATGCTCCTTTGGAGGTGGAAGAAGAAATGGTCACAGTAAATTCACCAGAACAGAATAAATTCTATTTAAAGGCAGTTCCTAAGCTTTTAGAGTCATACTTATAAGCCAGACTTATCTTCAGTGTAAGGTCTTTTAAAGAACTAATTGTGGTGATTTGATGCAACGCCAACACGTAGCCACCCTATGAGGAATGCAGGACTGGGCTGCCAACCCAACACAACACCACAGCCTGTTTCCGGACACAGGGTCCCATGTCACAGCTGCACATCGCCTCCGCAGTGCAGATTCCCGCTAGTGATCTGGTTTTGCTCTCCACCCTCAACTGCATTCCTGAAGTTAGTTTTACTTCCATTTAATTATTATAAATAGTCAGGTGAAGAGTCATAATTGAGAAAGCACACAAAAAAAATCAGATCATTTGTATGAATTTTAAGCATTCAATAAGTGTGTCAGTAAATTAAGTGCCACAAGCTCCATTCTATGGCAAATGATGAGACAGACACCTCCTCAGCACAACCTACATGATCAGAGAGCTGCACATCTTCCTTGGGATTAGATGGCACGTCATGAGGTCCAGCCAATACTCAACCGTGTGCCTCATGCAGTGCCTAAAATTTAGGTAGATTTAGTTTAGACACATTTCCCCAGAGACAGGGCACAGTTTTGCTATTATCTTCAATGAAACACACTTTTTCTACCTATACATCATCATTATCAACAGATAATGTCATGAAAGAGTCCGCACTATAATTTTAATTCATTTTGTTTCTCATTGAGCTGCATGCCAAGCTTTAATTATCTATACAGGTCAAATTCAAAATTATTATCAGACAACAATTATACAGACAAAAGTTCAAACCTTAACATTGGCACACAATTTATTTCAGTGAGTCTCTTTTATATGTGATTTTGTGATTAAGATGTTATAATTATTTCTCTGTTTTAAAATCTGATGGATAGTATAGTATAATACAATAATAAGAATATAATATAGCATTATATATAAAACTTATAATAAAAAATAGTATGTAAAATATAGTATAAAGCTTTGTTGTTCTCCAGTGAAGGTGCCACTTCCTTTTCACTGACTACAGAATGGAGTTCACAGCATTGTCACTGTGAGTTTAGTGCAATGCTATCATACTTCTTTTTGACAGCAGTAGACGATTACAGGGATCAAAAATGTGCAACACTTTCTCACCAGATGCACATAACTGTTAGGATAACTTTCATAAGAAATATTAGAAATATCCCACTGAAGCATCCAACAGTTTTTGAAACCTTAGTTTCAGTCCACACCGAGCCCCTCTCCTCATCCCCCAAATGTAGAATAGTATTCCAAATCCTTCGGTATTTAAATTTTTGTAAGCTCTATAACTTTTAATATACTAATTCTTAGGCTTAAAAAGGGTAGCAAATCTTTCTTGAAGTAAAGACACAGTGGCCACAACAAACATGCACCACTGATGTACTACCACAGACAAACAGAAGCAGCAGCAGTACAGTGTAATCTCCACTCCCATATCGCAACAGATGGAAGCATTTAAGATGAACAGTATTAATGTATGAATAGTACAAAAGAACAAATATTTTCCTCAGAAAAAAGGATGTAATTCTCTTTTAAAAATTAAGAATGTAGGAATCAATGTATATCAAAGGCAAAGTGTAATGATGTGAGTTAAAGCAGCACAAACTCACAGCTTGGAGAAAACTAAAAACGTTAAGACCTAAGACCACTCGTGCACCCTCTAACTCATCTTCATTATTGCACTGTTATGCATGAGAATAGTTTAAACAGTTCTAGGGATCTACCTTAAAGCCAATTAAGGTTAAATTTCTGCACTCAACAAGTAGAAATTTACCTGGGAGGCCTGAGATAATTTGTGTCTTGCATACATACGGGTACTATAAAACTGTATGAACACACATACAAGTGTGTCCTGAATGTTTCCTGATAGACATGCTAAAATAATCTGTAGTACATCAGATTCTAATAGATTTTATTGTTTTTTCTACTGTAAACGGAATTTTAATGTTGGTATTTGGGGCAAAAAAAATAAGGCAAAAAAAGTTGGGTACCCACGTACATAAATGGATGATCCAGCTTCTTCAGACACCTCCAGGTGGCAACCATGTCTACCATCCTCTCTTGCCGTAGGTGATCTTGCCAACTTAAATCCAGCAACTACAAACATGTCCTAGGGGAACAGGGTGATAAACAGATGATTACACAGGCTGTATCACATACGCTATTTTAAGAGTATGTGATGTGAAATTTCACCCTAAAGTCTCAAGACATTCAAGAAACAAAAATCCTGAACAAATTCTAAGCAGTGCCTTTAAGTTTCTCCATTTAGTTCTTCTACCCACAGAATTTATACTTCCAACCAACACCAGAGAGCATTTTTTTTCTAAATTCTCCTAAAATTTTCACACTCTTGATGCTACTGTGACTGAGTGCTAATTTTGGCAAACACTAGAGGGGAAGAGTCACACTGAATAAAGCAAAAGAATCATTCCTCTTCGAATATACTGAAGACCGACTCATTTCTGGGTAAGCTTAACTAAGCTAGAAAAGGAATCACACATTGGATCAGCAGTGACAAAACACTCGTTTCTCACAGCTTATTTCTTATTGAGTTACAGCTGCACTTTAAAGAGACTCTCCTTGTAGATATTTTCTGTTTTAGAAGGACATATTCCAATTTCTTCCTTAAGGGTCAGATAGATAAGTCAATCAACAGGGAGGTTTCTAGTTGCAAAAGAGACATTACAAACTTCCCTGGCGTCACTCCTGAGATTCTGGCACAGGAGACAACTGCATTTGCAACTGTGCTTTCGCTTTGGTATGAAGTTCCTCAGATACCACAAAGTGAACAATAAAATGATGATTTAAGGGGTAAATGATTTAAGTCTCTGAAGCAACTCACCTTTTTAGTAGCGAACTTACAGACCTCCTCCCCCAAAAAAACTATACTGGACTCGGAACTCTATTTCTATTTGAACTTCTGCCAAATGCACTTCCATAAGCTTTTACTGAATGACTTTTGTTCATGTGTTTATTTCATTAAAACAAATAAAAGAGTTTTCCAATTAAAGTTGACAGTTTTAGCCATACATTGCACTACAATAGCTCTTTTTGGCTATTTTCAGCAATCTGACAATGCTATTCTAAATGATTCAAGATCCAAAACCTTAATGTTTTGTGCAACAAAAAGAAAGGCTGCTAGCTTAACTGACAGTGATATATTTAGTTATTAAAGGATTTGCAAAAAAAAAATTACTGCAGAAATAAAACTACTTAGGGCATGGTGATTTTTAGGTAGTGTCATAAATACAAATATAATGTATATTTTGACTAAAAGTCACCTAAGTGTAAGCCATACTCAGAGCTGAGTAAGTTAAAATGGGTTAAAACAATTAGACAACTCCATATTACTTGCACGTGGAACACATCACCCTACTAACATACATTAAAGTGCGTATTTGTATGTGGAAAGAATGAAACAACAAACACAAGCTTCAGGAAACTCAGTTATTCTGCAGAAACCAGGTGTTAGCATGTGACTCCCCCTTCACTGTTGCTGATGCTACGCATGGTGTTCCTTCAACAGTGGAATCTTCAGCTAAAAACTATGCCCTGCTATACATTATTCCCATTTCAGCATTTTATTAGATTGCAGGCTGCACAAGATTCTGGGGCTTGGTTGCTGAGTCAGGCAGGATCATGGCTCTGACAGCTGACTTGACTTGTCTTGTTCTCCTCGGTCAGAAGGATCTTTAGAATTACACAGACTCCAGCATTTACACAGATTGATAATAAATGGAAACTATTTTGTGAAGAGTGTAAGATCACTGCAGGTTACTCTCATGTAATACGCAATGCGTAACATGACATTCAAAAAACACTTGTGAAAGGACTGTGCCATTTCAGTGAGGAAAAAGACAGCACTACGCTCAAAATCCAGCATTACAAGTAAAAAGAACAGGTATATTGTCAGTTGTGTTATAAGTTCACAGTCATCTTTGAGAGGTTGTGACTTGCAGTTGCTAAACAAGCAAAAAATTTCTATCATGTTTGCACAGTGCTTTAAATTTAAGGCTATATTAGTTTTCAAAACAGAGTAGTTTCTATTTCATATTTAGCTAAAAGTAATTATTAGAAGTTCTCTTATAATTGGCTTGGTAATCAAAGCCATTTATATAAATTGGTAGATTTTCATGTCAACAGAAGAGTATTATATTGCAATATTATTTGTTATATTACAATCACAGAATGGTAGGGGCTGGAAGGGACCTCTGTGGGTCATCTAGTCCAACCCCCTGCCGAAGCAGGGTCGCCTACAGCAGGCTGCACAGGACCTTGTCCAGGCGGGTCTTGAATATCTCCAGAGAAGGAGACTCCACAACCTTCCTCCACGGGAAGTTATCACCTATATGTGATCCTGCCATTTAATTTTTTTTTTTAATGCTGCACTAGGTGACAACTATAACTTCAAATACCTTTCTTCAACTATTCACTTTAAAGTTTATAAAACTGCTTTTTTTTTTTTTTTTAGTTTTGCTTTTTATAGAGATAAATTTCACTGTCATGTCATTCTGTTCTACATGTTCTGTGACTTCCAAACCTCTTCACTGACTTCAACTATAATTTGAAATGTGATAAAAAGCTCAAAACAGTTACATCTCTTTTGAAAAAGAGAAACACTAAACGCTTTCTTGGGCGAGATACGCTTTTTCTTATCCATTTGAAGAGGCCACCAACTTATGTCATCTGCTGTTTAAGGACTGTCCACATGATAAAAGCAATAATTAAACATTCAGTTCTTTCTCTCTAATCTATACATATTCACCCAATTCACATTATTCAGATGAACAACGCTGAAAACACAGGGATTCAAAAGTTTTCAGTGTCTAAACATTTAGAAGCACATAATTATATAAAAACTATAATACAGATCACTATACATTATATAAACGTCTCAGCTCTAGTTATAGGTGTAATTCTTGAAATTAGCACCTTCAGTCCTGTATGCCTCATGAACTGATGCATGCACCTTTGAAGCTGATACAATTCAGGGTGTAAGCTGCTACCCAGAAAGAGCACAATCACACTCAAGGAATATAAATAGATCTATTCCTCTCAAAGAAAAAAAAAAAAAAAAGAGAGAAAAAAAAGAAGAAAGAGCTGGGAACCAAGCAAAAGTCACTATTTAACCTTAGGTAGAATTATAAAAAGAATACGTATGTCTCTGAACTGAAATTTAAATGTTCCATAAATTCAGAGCAACTTGGGCTTTAAGTGATATTTTGATGTTACGCCCTAAGGTCTGCTATAATTTTTACCCTTTTTCAACATATAGATCACCAGAGTTCAGGTGTACTAGTCTGCTTGATTTGAAAAATCCCGACAGAATTCTAAGCCATTGCTATTTCTATATTTGAGACAGCCCTTAAATTCTGTGCATAACAAATACTTCAAAGAATGTGAACACAAAGCTCTATTTTCTTCACTAAATAACTTTCCATCTTTTTGATGAAGAGAGACTTTTTACCAAGACCCATAGCAACAGGACAAAGGACAATGGCTTTAAACTGAAAGAGGGTAGGTTTAGATTGGACAGAAGGAAGAAATGCTTTCTGTTGAGGGTGGTGAGGCACTGGAACAGGTTGCCCAGAGGAGTTGTGGATGCCCCCCTCCCTGGAAGCATCCAAAATCAGGATGGGCAGGGCTTTGGAGCAAACTGATGTACTGAAAGATGTCCCTGCCCATGGCAGTGGAGTTGGAACTGGATTATCTTTAGAGGTTCCTTCCAAACCATTCTATGATTTAGTGCAAATTTTTATCACAAACAAAAAAGCACTAATATGAGCTCATAAAGTACTGTACACTAATTTTAATTTGATAGCTGGCTAATATTGAAATGTCAGCAAACTGACAGGCAATTTAATAAAAATATTTAGCTGAGGCAATTGTTTTCAGCTTGTTCTCCTTCTTCAGTTGCACCAGTGTCTCACAAACTCATAGGCTGATTTGCTAATGCTCTTTACCCTGGAGCTAATCAAACCACGCTTGTATCTATGACAAAGGAAGATAGCAGCATCCAGCCAAGAAAGAAAACCGTGTACACAGCTTTGAATTTTTTTTTTTTAAAAAGCTTTTAGTGTAACTGTCTTTTAAATCAATTTAATTCTAAAATCTATCTGATTAAATGGCAATAGACATTCAAATTATGAACATAAACAGATGACTTCTCTCCCATCCATATTCACGATCCTTTACTTGCTAGATAAACAGCACTGACAAAAAGAATTGCTTTATTTCAATATTATTGTTAGAAAGAATTTACATAAGTAAATACTTCTAGTGTTTTTCTAGTTCATATTTATAGATAAGAACTGATGGAATAGACTAGTTCTAATTTTGGTCATAGCTATACAAAGACAAGAAGTCATCATACTACTGTGGAAAACAATTCATAAAATAAAAAAAAAAATTTACCCCGTGGCGTATAACTTTTGCACAATCCTGTGCCATTTTTCCATATATTAAAATATTGATGCTGTTGATCCGTGAACACCAGTTATCCAAATCTAGAGAAAAAAAGCAGAAGCCATTCCAGTCACCATACCTTCTTCAAAAGAAAACAGCAACGGGAAGAGATTTACAAAAAGAAGTTAATCTACAGTCTAACATTTTTCATTCCAATTAATCTACAAACAAAAAATCCTTTCAAATAGTTGTACAGCTGCTTTAGTGTGCTAACTACAGGTTTATCAAACAGAATATTCTTCATAAGAGGACCATTTAAAATGTGCGTATGTTGTACATCAGTGTACATTAATGAGAAATGACAAGGATCTCCACTTGGACAATTCAGTGGGTAGTGTTAGAGAGAAAATATTGTCCAGTCACATTTGATTTTTTACATTAACACAGAACACATTGTAGAACTATATAAACTGGAGATATTCCAGGATGTAGACATATCAATAAATAGCCATCCAGGAAGACTGAAGCAGAAATTACGTTGTTATTTTAAAAGAGTTTTCTACCTTTTACTGTTTCAGAAACAACACTAAAGATTTAGATGTGCAAACTTATTTTTTGAGGCTGTGAAGAATGTGCAGAAACTCTCAGCGCTCCTGAACAGCAACGTGAAACCAGCAAGACTCAAGCAAGTTTTGTACCCCTCTTTGGGAACCCTGAAGCCAGCAGGGAAAGTGACTCAGGTCCCATCAGCTTCGTTCACTCTAGCACCAGCCACAAGCAGTACCACCAGGTAGGATCTGCACCCCCGACCTGCTGTTTGCACACAGTCACACAAATTGCAGAATCAGGAAGGCTCAGAGGGAGCAAGTGATGATTCTCTAACCAGTGTAAGGAAGGCGCTGAGAAGGAAACAGAAAGAAATTGAAAGTTCCTTGAACCCAACACAGACTCCTGACTAATGACATCCTCCTCTTTCCTGGCTGGAGGGGGTGTTGAGCTTTGGACTTAAAAGGGACATACTATTTTTTAGTATCATTTATTACATGATGAACAACTTAAGCCTTTCAATGTGTTACTGTGTCTACTGATACTCTAATACCTGAGCAATCAGGTGAAATTCCATTTCTTAACTGCTTAGATTAAAACAGAATGAAATACAAATATTTTGCTGCTAATCAACATACTGACCTATACTAAATGCGCACTTACATAGTATGTACTATATGGTAACTATCACATGTGCATTTTTCTTCATGCTTCTTTATGATAAGCAGTTGAAAAACACACTATGAAATCTGTCCATATAGCTAATGCATTTCCAGGACAGATTCTGCACCAAGAAGTCTACTGAAGTATAAAGACTCTACTGTTTCCATTAACTTACCTGGCATGATTTTAAAATTATCCAGTTTTGCAGAGAAAGAATACTTCTAGAGACTATTAAAAAAAAAAAACATTTTACTGAACACTGAAAAAGTAGGTACTAGGGATGTAATAGCATGATGTCAAAAAAAGTGTCAAGAAGTTCAACAATATAAATTTAAAATGCATACTTAAATGTAGTACCTTGAAGAACAACCTTGAAAAAGTCTGTCCCATCTCCGAGTTTTGTTAGTGGGTAGGAAAGAATAACTGTTCCCTAAAAAGTAAGAAAAAATAAACAATGTGAACTAAGATTATATTCCTCTAAGTTACTGATACATCTGTAAGCTAAAAAAAGGTAGAATTGAAGTAAGAAGTGCAAATTACCGTATGACTTCTTAAAAAAAAAACCCAACTGCTAAAGACAGTATTGAAGAGCAACATTCTTGCATTCTTGGGATATAACAAAGGAAATATTACATGTCAATACTACTTAGACGCAACTGACCAGATGATATGCTTAGACTAAACAATAAAATAGTAGCTATGGAATTACCTTTTACCAGTTACAATAATAGCACAAAAGAGTACAGTTTTAGCATAAAACCTGAAAGGTGGCTAAAAAGGTAGAGTGATCAAAATCTTAAAAGATACAGCAATTTCTCCAAAAATATTGGCAAACAACTGCAACACAAATATAAAAAAAAAAGCAAACACACACAGTCAAGAGATAAAAGATGTATATGAAGATAAATCTTCTATGAAAAAAATAAACTGCACAGCTGGGAGAACAGTATTTCAACATTTTGAAACTGTAGTGACCTATTAATTTGTCAATGACAAAAATGCTCTAAAAGATGCAAAAGTCCTATTAATTATGTAAAAATACTCTCTTTAGTGAAGCTCAAGTTACAATGAAGCAAAAATCATAGGCCAACAACTTCAATTATGTTAACTTCTCTTCTGAACAAATGTGTTTTGTTAGAAAGATGATATCTCATCAAAAAAAGGTTCTCCAACAGTAGCAAAAATGTCCTTCCACAGTATGGCAGGTAATGCTCTGTATCCTTCTCAAGGATAAAAACACAGAAATTGGTTCAATAACGAAAAATACAAATATTAGAAAACAGACTCTATAAACTGTTTAAGAGAAATACACAAACAGCACAGGAAATAAAAGGTTTATTGTAAAGAGACAACAGCGACAATCTGTCTATAAATGGACAAAGGAAACATTAAGAGGACAGTCAGGTAAATCATTATACTTTTACAATGCACATATTCGGTGGGAAGCTTGACTTAAATGTTAGTAAGCACCTCGTACACCAAATTAGGATAAAATACACATCAGTGAATTGTTATGGTAGAGGCTTGTCAGAGCAAAATTAGTCCTACATGTTAACTGAGGAAGAACCCAAAACAAATTCAACAATTTATTTTACCATCTGTTTCATAAAGAAACACTAAGACTCCACAAATTGTCCTTTTCCAACCCAAAGTACATTTTAATTTTAAAACACTAAAAAAAAGCCATTTTGAATTATATTTAACATGTACCATATTGCTTTATTGCTTTTGAGACAATGAAGTTCAAAAACCTCTGGCCACATGTTTTTAACAGGTAAGTTTCTATTTTTCACAGGGAAGACTAATGAGTTTTGTAAGGACACTTAAGTATCAGTTATTTTAACAATCAGCTTCTGCAGAATAACATTCTGAGACTTGTCTATGAATACTTGTTTTCAAAATTACAACTTTCTTCAAAATTTCAAGTATTATACGTAATTGTTCTTGCTGTGATTGTTTGTCTTGAAGTGTACTCCCAGGTAAACAGGAACTTTTCTTCTAATAAAGTCTTTGCAATGAAACAAAGTCACCTCATGAACATTCTGTACTTACATACATATTTTTTTCTTACTAAAGAAATTTTAATCCACATAAGCATGCTATTTAAAAGTAGAACACATTGATGAAAAAGAGACTGCTTTCTGACCATTTTTACTTTTTATTTTCCCTTTTACATCCTGGTATCTTCCCATGAGTTTTCAAATTCTGGGACCACATTCTTCGCTCTAACTGTCTGGCCCCATCACTTTCCTTTGTATGCCAAACACCTATGCCTTGTTCCTCAGCAGAAATACTACCCAATGCTTTCTCAACACGCCCGAAACTCTTGGGCTCCAAACTTCAACAAAACCTACCTTAGCAAAACCTGCTCAAATTCACTTTTCCTTCACAAATCCTACACTGCTTATTAAGCCCACAGACAAATTTCTTCCAAAACCCTTCCCATTCCACACACCACTAGACTCACGCTCAAACTGACTATGCAATTCCTCTAGTGAATCTGCCTCCTTCCTTGCTGCAGCCTCATTCCTCAGTCTGGTCCAACAGTTGATTTGGCAGCTGATTTTCAGGTTTTTTTCATCTTTGCCACAGCAAAATCCAGAGGATAAATTAATGGGAGGAGGCATTATCAATGATCTGGATGAAGGGATTGAGTGCTCCCTCAGTAAGTTTGCAGGTGACACCAAATTGGGTGGTAGTGTTGATCTGCTGGAGGGTAGGAAGGCTCTGCAGAGGGATCTGGACAGGCTGGATCCATGCCTGAGGTCAACTGTATGAGTTTCAACAAGGCCAAATGCCGGGTCCTGCACTGCAGTCACAATAACCCCATGCAACAGTACAGGCTTGGGGAGGAGTGGCTGGAAAGCTGCCCGGCAGAAAAAGATCTTGGGGTCTTGGTTGACAGGCAGCTGAACGTGAGCCAGCAGCGTGCCCAGGTGGCCATGAAGGCCAATAGCGTCCTGGTTTGTATCAGGAATAGTGTGGCCAGCAGGAGTAGGGAGGTGATCGTGCCCCTGTACTTGACAGTGGTGAGGCTGCACCTCGAGTACTGTGTTCAGTTTTGGGCCCCTCACTACAAGAAGTACATTGAGTTGCTGGAGCGTGTCCACAGAAGGGCAATGAGGCTGGTGAAGGGTCTAGAGCACAGGGCTTATGAGGAATAGCTGAGGGAACCAGGATTGTTCAGTCTGGAGAAGAGGAAGCTGAGGGGAGAGGTTGTAGTGAGGTGGGTGTTAGTCTCTTTTTCCAGGTAGCAAGTGATATGGGGAGACAGGGATAGCAAGTTGCACCAGAGGAGGTTTAGATTGGGTATCAGGAAAAATTTCTTTACTGAAAGAGTTGTAACGCATTGGAAAGGGCTGCCCAGGGAAGTGGTGGAGGCACCATCCCTGGAGGTGTTCAAAAAATGTATAGCTATGGCTCTTCAGGACATGGTTTAGCAGGCGTGGTGGTGTTGGGTTGACGGTTGGACTTGATGATCTTAGAGGTCTTTTCCAACCTTAATGATTCTATGATTCATGATTAGGTTCAGATCGGGGACATCATGACTGAGGATTTATGGACATTGCTTGTGCTGTGTTATCACAGATTTAAATTTGTATTGTTCAGAGGAATGCCAGAAAGCAAAAATGTTTCAGAAGAATGAAAGGACTGAAGCACACAGGCCAGAAAGAAGTATCCTGGATGTTTTTTGTTACTTTTTCCCAGAATACATTTCATAAAAATCCTCCTCTTTGCCTCCTCAACACAGGACCTGATCCCTATTTTGGCAGCTCTAGAAGGAGAGTGTGCTGCGCCACCGCTAAGATAACCTAACATCAGTGCATTCAAAGGTTTGCTTCAAGCTCAGCCTGTGGAACTGGATTTTCCTACATATTTAATGGTGTATTAGCACCAGCTTTATCAGCTCACCAGTTGCACTGTTTTTATGCCAAGCTGTTTTAGTCACGTACTAATCCATGTCAGCAGTAGCATGAAGCTCTCTTAACATATGGCAGAAGTCTCAGAAAGATTCTATACACTATCACTTTCATCAATCAGCTATAATACTCTATGTATGTTTTAAAACACAGTCTGGTAATAACTGTTCTTCTTTCCTAATGGAAACATTTATTATGGCAGAAACATTTTCTAATTTATAATCCGCTTTTGTCTGCTTTAACATTTCTTTTGTGAACAAGAATGCCTGTTCTTCCATGTCAGAGGTGCTTGCAGACGTAGCTCTTAAAAGCAGATAAGCCTCTATGCCCTGCAGGTGAATGGGGACAGAAAACTACAACCTGAGGAATAAAATCCCTGTTTACCAGCAGCGTTGGTTATTGATGTTTCCATTTGTTCCTTTACAAGACCTAAGGGAGGCTGGATCATCCTCAGTCAAATCACCTCCTATCACACTCTACTGTCTGCATCCAAAAAGGGCAGTTTTGGTCCTTTGCTTTACCTAATTGCACTACTCCTGGCATCTTTTTGATACCATAATGAACCAGTCCAGAGGGCGAGAGTAGTAGAAAATTAGCCTCTCTCCATCCAAACAGATAGTCTTCTGCCAGCTTATTTCTCATGAACGGACTCAATCACAGGGTCAGACAAGCACTAGAGCTGGAACTGGGAACACACAGCTGGGGAAGCAAAAATGTTTTTTGGATACAGAAAATCATTAGGGCAGTTCAGCTCGTATTTTTAAAATATTTGTGCCATCATTTTTTAAGGATTGAAGCCACCTAAGGTTTTCTACAGAATTAGCTTCCCCCATTCTTTTTTTTTTTTTTTGGAACAGGCTGAAGGCAAGCCTGGGATGATGTTGATTTCCTGCCACTTAAGCAATCAAAGATGATTAAAAGGATTTTCAGAACCATTCACAAAAAAGAAAGTTAAATGGGTTAAAAAAGAAAACCCTCAAGAATTAACACTGCATTTTACAAAGTATACTTGTTTTAGGGATGAAAAAAAACATTTCTGCATTTCACTAGTGTGCTAGGATTGTACTTCCAATCTGAACTATATATCGGACTACTGTAAAATATAAATGCACACTTGATAAATGATAAAAAACCTAATTGTATCTTGATGCAGGTAGTTGCTACAGAGCCCTCTTTTCATAAAACTGGATAGTGTATTGCTTCATACAAGAAAGGAAAAATCCTTCAGAAGTCATTGCTCTGAAATCTGATCTTGATCAGGATGGTGGTACTTATTACTGGTTTATTTTAAAAACAAAATACCACTTAACCTCTCCCAGTCCCTCCATTTTCAGCACAGCCTTCTGCATATTAACATGTTTTTAAATGGCTGTGCAGTTTCGAAACTAGGAAAACCCTTATAAAACTTAAGTCTGGCTATGTAAGAGGAAGGGGCAGAACTGTGAACCAATGAAGTCAATAGCAACAATGCAACAAAGTTCAACAAAGTCATAATTTTGCTTTGCTTAAAGATATGCAACAGATGCACAAAAGACGCACAGCTGCAGCAGGTCACCAACTGAGCTGGAATATGGAGGTCCCTTATAAATATACCAGGAGCTATTTCAAAGTAAGCCAAAATTCTTTTATTAGTAAGTTACCTTAAAATATTTGTTGGTATGATCCAAGCCTTCTTGCAAATGTTTCAAATCCTCCTTCTGCAAATGGCTTGGCAGTGGAGTCTCAGATCTTCCTTCAATGATCTTCAGCAACTGAACAGGCATAGCTGCTTTATCTAAACAAAAACAATATACAGACAGCTGAAGCTACTCATCTTGTTCCAATTAAGCATTACCAGAAGTTGCAGTTTACTCAGAAGGGGAGTATTTAGCTATCTATTTCATCATAAGAAAGTTTAACTACGTAAGACAGATCAGAGGGACTGGCCTCATCTCTTAGTACCATGAATAGCAGGAAGAGAAAAAATTACATTTGCAACTGACAGCCACCCAAACTATTGTGCAAACACTGCAAATGGCAATAAAATATTACTTTATGTATGAATGCAAAGGGTAATGTAAACAATGTGAATATTTTATGTACAGAAATGCACATTAAAAACCAAGCAGAGCCTTTGAATGACTCCTCCCCCAGCATAGGTACAGTCTCTATATTCAGCTGTTTCCCTATAAGACAGTTTGACTGCATCAAAGTAAAAAAGTCTGTCATTCTAACAAAATAAAGAAAAAATGCTTCTGTACAGCTTAAAAATTTTGATCGATGTATCAAGTATAGAAAAAATAAGAAAGAAAATAAGATGAGCATCTACAAATGCTAAACACTGAATGAGCTGTAAAAAAGCTAAAAAATATGACTGTGTCTATTGTTCTCACTGTGCTAAAAGTCAATGAAATAAATTCTTGGTGACATCACTGTTATAATAATGAGAATGGAGGAGAAGAAGAGTAGCCTACATCATGCTTTAGCCCCAGCTAGCAACAAAAAATCATGCGGCTGCTCTCTCACTCTTCCCCACCCTCTGATGGGATGGGGAAAAGAATCAGAAGAAAAAGGCAAAACTTGTGGGTTGATATAAAAAGTTTAACAGAACAGCAAAGCGAGAAGAAAATAACAACAATAATACTGATAAAAAGAATATATAGAGCGCAATGTTCTCGCACCCCAGTGCTCAGCTTGCTCCCAGATAGCAAATCACCCTTCTCCAGCCAGCTCCCACACTTAAATACTAAACACAGCATCACATATTGCTATATTTTATCATTACATGATCGTCTCATTCTTCTTGAGGTATCTTTGATTTTTTACTGTACAATTTTTATTTAAAACGGGTATCTACAGAAAAGTCACAGTGTTATCAATCTTATGTTTTCAGTAGGTTTTAATAAACTAAGTAAAACAGGCCATTTTCTAAAATCCCAACTGGCAGTATTATAGCCATAGTCGTAATTTCAGACAGAGTTTTAGCAATCCTTTTATGACAGTGAAGAACAAAAAATCAAAAAGCATTTCCCATACTTTAGGATGAACATGAAACCTTGGTATTCTACTAAATAAGACCTAAAGTATGCTTCCATTTCAGTCCAGAAGTGCTTTTTCAGTGCTAGACAGACTGACTTCTTACAAAATACTCACAATTAAATAGAAATGGGAAGCCACTGCCAAATGGAAAGACCACTGGATCGTAAGTTACAAACATAAGTCAATGCATATAGGTGCAGACACTCCACAATATTGGACATTCTTTAAAAAAAAATATGAGGTTCTCCAAAAAATCAAAATTCCACCTTACTGTCACTCCAGTGTGCAAAGACATCCAATGTCACTTATTGCTCATTGCTATTTCTCTCGCTCTGAATGACTTCATCCTTTCTCCTTCCCTCTTTTCCATGAAATTCCTGGAATTCTTGTCTAACAGATAAAACAAAAGTAAAACATTTTTGTTCAAGTGTATCTCAGTCAAAATGACTAGACACAGGATGAGTGGATTTTGGTTTTCTCCTAGCTTCCAAATTACATCTGTCTCTCTTGTCACTTGTCCTGGACTGCAGCTTTTGTCAAGTAAGTAAAAAGTTTGTAAGCAAGTGAAAAGCTGGCCATAATATACATTACTGTTAAATCTGCAATTCTTAGAAGACTAGTTAACTTTCACTAGCAATACTAGCTTTTCTTCCTTAACATTTAAGACTCAAAAAAGCAGTAATAGCAAAACAACCTCTGGTTTCTTAAGCTATTGTAACTAGGCAATAAAGGATGAATTTAAAAGCAAAATACATTCTAGCAAGTCTGATAAATATCATGTCTCAAATAGGAAACACACTAGTATCTGACTTGAGGGTTTTTTTAATTTTTGAATTGTAGCTTAGGCTTTGAAAACTAATCCTCAACGACTCCAAAATACTAAGCAGTCCCAAGCACTCAGAAGACTCAGTAACAGGAGAGTAACACGGTCATGCATCTTCCCTGCTTACAACCTATATTCTCCTACTTTACAATGTAAGTCAACAAGCAACTTGTTTCTCTGTAACTTCCTCCCCAGGGTGCATGAAATAAGCAGGCCTTATAACATTCAGAGGACACAGAGGCTCCAGGAGGCACCACTACTCAAAACACCATACATTTAGAGCAACAGACATAGCTTACCAAATACTGATGAATAAATTTAAGAACTTGACTAGTGAGACAACTCAAAAGGTTTATTACCTGGGATAAATGCAGAAATAATGTATCTAGGGACACATACCTGGACAAGAATTAGTCACAGTTACAAAGTACCAACCTTCACCTCAGTAACTGTGTACAATGTTAACCTGTCCCGATTGCAAAGTAGAACATGTTATCTTACACCTAGAACAAACAACAGTTTTAAGCCCAATTACTGAAACTTTTGAAAGTCTTTTGCCTCATAGAGAATTTTACTCTTCTGCAAGGAACCCAGAGGACACATACAATGAAGATCAAGCACCCGGAATGAACAGTAGGGCAGGGAGCTCAAACACTTTGTAAAATGGTAACAAAATCTCACTCTTTTACTGGGGTAAAGCTGAAGCATTATCAAAATTCATTTACCTGATAGGAAACAGTAGATACTAAATGCTTACAAGCATTCACAAATGTCTAACTGGAATCTGAATACCCTTCTCCTTCATCAATTGCCAAAAAGCTAAAAAAACATAGTAACACCCACAAAACTCACCAGTAATGGTGTTGACCAATTCTGGTTTCAGTGCTGGTGCTTTGGGGAGGGAAGGGAGGGGCCACAACACGTTAATCAGGGTTGAAGTGTGAACATGCATGACATTTTTTAGTCCTGTCATAACTCCATCAGTGAGCTGTAGGAAGTATTGGGCTAGAGTTCTACCTGCTGACTGTGCTGTTGTTGTGGGATGACCCTGGCCAGCCCATAAGCACCCACAGAGCTACTCGCTCATCTCCCCACAGCAGGACAGAAGAACAGGTGAGAGAATAGTAAAAGCGAAAAAACTCATGGGTCAGGATAAAGGATAAAGACAGTTTAATAAGTGAAGCGGGGGGGGGGAGGGGGGGAAAACCCCCCAAAACAGAAAACAAAAGATGCAAATGCAATCACTCATCACCTCCCACAAGCAGATCAATGCCCCGACAGTCTCTGACCAACTGCTCCCTTGGAAGACCCAATAAAAAACCCCAGTTTTTTATTACTCAGCATGAGTCTGTTTGGTATGGAACGTGCTTTTGGCCAATTCATGTCAGCTGTCGCCTCTTTTCGTGTTCATGGCTCTCTTGAATAGCAAGGAAGTGAAAATAAGTCTGTCAAGTATCTTTGTTGTTCTCAAAAGGCTGACTGCACAACACTGACGACTCATTCCAACTTGAGTCTGCTGCTGAAGAAGTCCGTAAGTGGCATAAGCAGAGCTACTCATAAGGATGGGTGGTTAAAAAAAAAGAGAGTGCAAGAAAGGTAGACAGCACCATGGGACACTCTCAGAACAGGAGGGACACACAACACACACAGAGAGTAGAATGAAGCAGGCAGTGAACTACAACTTATGCCTTCCAATAGCTGAAAGTGACAAAAATACAAAGAGAGAGTGACCAAAAAACTTTATAATTTTAACAAGCAAAGAATTATATGGAAGGATGTACACCATATTAGAACTCAGAAGTAATACCCTGGAAGAGAAAGCAATATATATCACTTGCTTAAACAAGTGAAATATTACACTGAGGATGGCTATGGGCCAAACTTTTACGCGCCACTCTGCTCTACCCTTGATTTTCTACCTACTAGTTTTCTAGACCTTACATTTCTGACAGTGGAACAATCTACTACAACCCACTAGTTCTGTTTTAATTGCGTACGGAATATTAACATGTATTCCAAAGGCATAAAATCCATTTTAAACCACAGTACACTAGAAAACAATTGCCTAGTAGAAATGGCTTTGAGCAAGGGTTAACGTTCAACAGAAAAAGCAGTCATTTTGGGTTTTTTTTTCCTTCTGGAATGAGGACACTATTCCATCCAAATATTGCACAGAATGCCTCTATCTCTAGGTTCAGAAGCAAGAGAAAAATTCCTACATCTGAAGGACTTTACTTCATCCTTCTCACTTGCAGCTTGAGAGTTTAAACATCCACAGCTAGGTATGGTCTGGAGTGCATGCACAAGAAAAAAGGCAAGCTTTCAGGCTCAGTCTTTTCATCAGTTCACACAACGCAAAATAATTAGCATTTCCTTTTACATGCAGCATGCCCCAGATACAAGCTCTGAGAGCCTGGTAACTTCAGTGTTTAAGACAACGTGTACAGCCAAAGGCTTATGCACTTATAGAATCAGACAGTGGCTCTGCAAGAGGCTTAAAGACTAATTTTTGAGCTTTGCACTGCAAAATAGGGTGGTAGAAAGAAATTGACCATTTAAGTCTTCTTGCGAAAGCCTTACATCTTTTTTTTCTCTAGGCTTTTTAAACTTCCCCTGTAATGAAAAAAACACATTTTAAATTATGTTTGGAAAAACTTTAGAATTTAAACTCTCAGATTAGTTATGTCACCCTTCAGTGCACACTAAAAATTATTAAGAAGCCACAAGCTGCAGTTGCAAGTGAAGTTAACACCACACAGCCACAAACAATACAGAACTGTTGACATGAACACCAGCGCAACATGACTGAAAGACAGGAACAAATGAAAAATAAGCCACACAGGAAAGGCATATATGTTCTTATCATCAAGACAATTCATCATTGTTTCTCCCCTTCCTTCATGCTTCTCTAAGCAACATGAA